CTTACGACAGACACGTGAACTTGGTATGACATAGATGCAGTGGCGGATATAGAATTTTAAGGCTGTGGGTGCTTTGAAAGTGGCGAAATAAAAAATATAAAAGATATGTTAATAATGAGATTCAAACCCGGCTCAACAACACTAAAAGAACCTTAAGCATCCACCCAAGAGCGAATATTAATGGATCAATCAGATCATTTGTTCACCGGGTGCTCTCTGATAATTTTATACAAATATCTCTTAATTTATACATATATATATTCAAGACGAGATTAATGGGGGCTCAAACATCCGGCAGACTTTATGTGGGTCCGCTGCTGCACGGATGATGTTGAATGATCGCACGTTAATGGTCATCTCCAAATTAAAGGATAATTAGAGGTTTAAAAATGAAATTTTAGTTAGAGATTTTTCAAACTTTTTTAGATTCAAATTATTATTTAAACTTGGGAAAAGGGTCTAATATACCCCTCAACTTTGTCATTTAGAGCTGATATACCCTCGTTATGAAAGTGGTTCATATATATTATATACAAATGACTCACATATACCCTTTTCCTCTAACGAAAATGAAAAAAAATTAATTTTAGTTTAATTTTTTACTATTATTTTAAAAAATATATATAATCGCATATGAGTATATTTAATCCTCCTCAAACATATTTTTTTTTACTTTTTTTTTTATTTCAATGACTAATTTAGATTTATTATTTTGTGTTTGGTTTGGTTTGGTTTTATATTTTTAAAAATCGATAGTATTTGGATTGGTTATGATTTTGTTCGAAAAAACCAAAGAAATAATTTTATTGTTATACATACATAATATGTTATTTTTATAAACATTTTTAAATATCTTATATCCGTTTTCATCAAAATTTATTTATATTTACTTATGAAAGCAAAAATGTCCGAAGTGAGAACATTTATCTTATTGACTTCATGTATATGAGTGTCTATGACAATTCTTTGTGGATTGAAAATGTCATTGTCTCTTCCTTCTAGGCCAAAATAATGAATTTTGATGCTTTATCCGTAGTAAATTCAATAATAGAAAGTTATGTAATATGAGTCATTCTAACTATTCTTCGTTTTGAATGGATTGTTGTCACATTTTTCACTTTTTGAATGAATTGTTTCTTTTATTTTTGTATATGGTTAATAACCGAACCATAATCGATAACAACCAAAATCGATAAATATATATTATATTTGATTTGGTTTGATAATTTTAAAATCGATTAAATTGGTTTGGTTTTGGTTTTGACCAATAACCGATCCAAACCAACCCAAGAACACCCCTAGCTTTAATGATACCAATACAATATATGATATTGATTTAGTATCAATTAAGCGAAGATTATCAGTCTTAATGAATTGGGGTATGGAGTGTAATTAGTTATGAAAGAATGGGTATTTCGGAAATTACTTTGAATTTGAATAGTGTAAATTTCATATATGACATATATTATAGTACTATTTTCAAGCTATAGCAGTAAAATTAGACTTTCAAGCTATAGCATTAAAAATTTCAGGTTATAACAAATTCACAAAAAAAGAAATGTTTTTATTAATTGGAAAAATCTTTAAAAAAAAATAAAAAGATAAACGAAATTTTTAAAAAAATGGAATTAAAAATAATAAAGAAAAAAACTGAAATTGTGGCCTGTAATTTAATTTGAACTTATTGTGGATAATTAATGATTAGCATGAAATAAGGGATCCAAACAAATTAACAATATTTTTTATCCTTAATGATTAGCATGAAATAAGGGATCCAAACAAATTAACAATATTTTTTATCCTTAATGATTAGCATGAAATAAGGGATCCAAACAAATTAACAATATTTTTTATCCTTAATGATTAGCATGAAATAAGGGATCCAAACAAATTAACAATATTTTTTATCCTTAATGATTAGCATGAAATAAGGGATCCAAACAAATTAACAATATTTTTTATCCTTAATGATTAGCATGAAATAAGGGATCCAAACAAATTAATGTCACGACCCAAAAATGGACGTGATGGCACTCGTCTTAACCCACCAAGACAAGTCAGCCTAAAACTCAACCATTACAATAAAATGCGGAAATTTTTATAATAAACTCAAATATACCCCCAAAAT